AATATCCGAAGATACAAATGACATTTTTTAAAATCAACCAAAGATTATGAATTTGGATTATCTGATACGTTATTTATATACGGGAAGAAAGATGACTGACTATAACTATCATGCTCAATTTAAATGGTAAGATCTCAACTCAAGCTAGATACCTCTAATTTTGGCATATGCTAGTGTGGTTTTAATACTGGTATACACTATCACTATCACTTTAATCACTAGTCATACCTTACCCGAAGTAAAGTCCGTATTCGCTGTACCGGTAATCAAACACTTGTCATTGTGTAACCAATTTGCGTTAACCGTGACATCATATCGAGGATGGGCGGGGGGAAAACATAGGGTTCTTGGGTTGAGAATTCATAAATGTTTTGTTGGAGATATTGTGGTAAATTGAGAATGAAAATGGAAATGAATACTTGGAGATGAGTGGGAGATGATCGGTTGTACTGTACTCGTATAATTGCAGAAAGATCGATCATCATCGCATCCAAATTCTTTGTGTAAATCATTATTAGCTACTAGGTAGATATCCCTCTCAACTACATCATTTGCCAACCTCAAAAATGATCTTCACTTCACACCTCCAACACCAACACCAACTTCAACTAAAATAGTTATAGGACGAGATTGGGTAAGATGCTAACTAGACAACATACTTCACTCTACCACCAACCCTATGAACTCCAGCCAAGTCGTCATCAGCTCTCCTGATAATCATGAGCTCCGCACTTTAGTTTTCGATTAAGCAAGCTCTCCCAGATGGTCTCGACATTCATTTCCCTCCAAACCGGTCGTATCTACCGGCACTCAACATGCATGAGCAACCTCGTTCTAACATCGGTACCGTGTAATCCTGCACTCTCCACGGAAGCTTTGTCCATACCATGATCTTCTCTGGAGCAGTACACACACCCAAATTACTGACTGATCATCGACACACCATCACGAACCTCTATTTTTATGATCGCGAGGGTTCACGTTATGCAATGCGATGACATTTCGACGGCTCGGAACATGAAAGGAACTAAACCATCATCCAAACCGGCCCGGCGAGTAGAACAAGACAGAAGACGCACAGGATCAATTACAAATAAATGGGGTGTATGAATTTGACTTGCACACAAAAAAAGGAAGATTTTACTAAACTCGAGTGGGAACTTTCGAAAGAAGGAAAAGAAAAAGTCGTATTTACCTCACCGATAATGAGAAACCTCGAGATCATACTGCTGCAAATTGTACCGATATATGTATCGACCGACCATTGTTTCAAGGACTACCTGAATCTACCCTACCTACACTTCGATCTCGAAGACGACGAAGATAGATATAAAAATATTCTTTTGGGCAAATATGTAGAGAGGAGATTTTCTGAGGAAAATTAGTTTGAACTGAACGCAGCGAAATTGGATGCAGCATCAGCATTGAAAATGAAAACCCTCGAGGGTGATATGGGGAATCAACGAGTATCATATCTTGACGAAACGATTACATGAGGTAACTGGGTAACTGGACTAAAAATTGATGCGCAGTGCCAGTGGATGAATAGACTTATATGCTCGGATCTAGGAGGTGCGATTCATGGGTGAGTATGGATGGATGGATGGATGGATGGAAAAGAAGAGGATTTATGATGAGATGAGAAATGTTGGTTTCGGGTAGTGGGCTAACCTAATAAGCGCATGCATAGCATATATACTTTTTGGCTTGTTCGGAAGATTAAGATGAGTTATAATAGAGAAAGTGTGCACCGGGTATTTGGAAATAGAAACAGAAATAGAAAGATGGGGTTGCATTTGCAGATCTTGGCTCATAAAAAATATTATCCCAGCAATTTATCCGTGATTTGGCAATTAATAACCTCAATGTTGGAAGAAAGCTGTAGTGGTAGTTCATTATGGATAATAGTTGAGAAAGGTTTGAATAAGGAATCGAATCCGATGTTCTCTGCTTGGTATGGTTTGTATTTCAGTAAGGCTTATTAGGGTATGTCGATTTCCAAGTGATTGGTTGTACTGCCTACAATACCCTGGGCAGCATGGAACTGCCCGCAAACTTCTTATATCTCATATGCAGTTTATCTTTAGGGCAAGTATTGGTGGCTAGTGTTCAAGAGATTAGATATGAATCAGAAACATTGTTTCTCTCGAGTAGGGAAACAATGTTGATATGCATATGCCTAATAACCATCCGTATGCACTAGACAGCTTAGCCATCAGATACCTCAGTCAGGTTCTAACTCTTCTTCCCAATTCAGCCATCTGGTGACTCCTTTCGTGAATGCGAACCTCTGTTTCGACGAAGTACAAGAGAAATAAAATTGACCCCTAAACCTTGACCGTAATATCATGTGTCGAACCCCCTGTCAAAACCAAACTGACATACCCATCACTACTATCCAACTCCGCATCAAAAGCCACAGGTCCATTATTCCACGCCGTCACTCCATCCACAAGAATCTCCAGCGCCGTATCGCGTTTTGCCTTCGTCCCAAACCCCACCGGTAAACTAACCGTTCCAGTCGTGTCGACTGGAGCAGACACACTCAGCACAAACCATCCATTAGAATTAATACTCCAATTCACCGAGATGGGACCATGAGGAGTAGGAACTTGACCCTTGGCCCAAGAAAGATCACCCGGATATGGCTTCACGCTCCAGGTTGAAAATCCCGCTCCGGTAGGTGTGACGCCCAAGACATAATTACTCAATGCAGGTACGATACCAGTGCTCCATCCATGCGCCATGCTTGTGAAGCCTTGTTCGTATGGACTTCCATTTGGTCCAATACCCTCCCACATGGTAACTTTGGGATCATGAGTCGCCATCCATCCGTACAATCTTCTGATTTCGTCAAAGGCACTCGCAACGAGGTTAGTTTTGAATCGAGCGGAGATCTCGAAGAAGGAAATAAATGCATATACGCGTTGCGAGAAACCAGAGGACATAACATCATTATCGTAGAAAGAATTGCCGTAGAAACGAGAATTAGCACTATTGAGATAGTTGAGGATGCCAATGGAGCGGGATGTATTTGTCACGCCTGCGAGAATAGATATCGAGTTTCCATCTTGAGGATGAGTATTGCAGAATATATCGCCGCATGTCCCATCGAAGAATGCGCCGACGGAAGTATCGAAATTATGGGAGTTTAGTGCGTCGGACACGACTTTAGCGCGGGAGAGCCAGCGAGAAGCATCGGAAGATTGACCTTGGGACTTGGCAATGACAGCGGCATTTTCGAGAGCAAGAACATAAAGGGCGCTGTAGTAACTTACTGGTCCCACACGGGGGAGGAAAGCGTAGTCACCGTAACTCCCAGATATACCGACTCCTTTCCAGACGAGATTGGTGCCGCTGTCTGTGACTGATGGGTAGAATTTATCTAGCACATTGATAAGTGTGTGATAGTATTTTTGAATGTAATTGTTGTCGCCCGTGTACATTAGTAGATCGTGGCTACAGACAATCCACCACAGTGGATAATCGAGTAGATGAAGATCATAATTGCCACTATTTGAGAATTAGTCAAGGATCATAGACAATATTTAGACAATCACGTACATAGAGGCAGGTGGAATCCATCCATCATCACGTTGATGATCCGCCAAGTCGGCAAGAACATTACGAGAAGCTTCGGGTGTATTGTGTGACAAGAAAGAAGTTTTTCCAGCAACTGCAATATCACCAACATATGGATCTCTATCTCGTTTCGCCCCATCCAAAAGAACTAGTTTACCGTCGAGCGTCGGACTAAATGCATTTCGGGGGTCGCTAGAATTGAGACGGAAGACATCGGTTGCTACATCGTTAGTGTATACACCATCATACCACCATTGATTGAAGCTTTCATCGGAACTTTCAAACCAGCCGGTAAAGGTATCTGGTGTGCCGCGCAGACCAGAAAAGGTCAAACTCAAGTAATCGATAGCTACTGTTCCGTATGGGGCAGTATATGGTGAATCTGCGGCCAAAGCGTCGAGATAGATTCTGACATATCGGAAACCATGAAGACCATCTGCACAGACTTGCGTCCCATGTTGACACCCATGTACGTCGGTCCAAGTAAAGTTCTGGCTACCAACGGCAATCTAAATCATCCTCAGTTAGGAAACGAATCACGAGCATAGAGGAACACTGGGATTCTCATACCTGATCGGACCCGGGAGTGATTGTATCGCCCTGATTCATTCAATATAAGCTACATCTTCAAACCACTCGGCATAATACTAACTTGGTTTGATCGTGAAAAGTCACTAGTGTCAGATAGATATTGCAGAGTCTCAGAGAAAGCTAGTCGGATACCAGGAGTTCCCAAAGCACCAGCGAAATTGATACTCAAGTATCCCACAGTATTTTGTCCGAAATCAAGAGTGATCGAAGGGATATTAATGGATCCGCTATCTCTAGTCAAAGTCGTGACTTGACCACCTTGTTGAAGAAGAGCATTAGGATTTGTGACTTTTCCTGAGGTAGTGACGACGCTTTGAGGTACGACTATGTTGGAGGAAGTAGCCCTGACATACTTTTGCCAATTTGGACTGCTACTGGAGTCTTGCTTTTTCGAGAGGAGTTGATTCTGAATTTGATATGTAGAGGATCGTGGTAGAGACTCCACTACGGATGAAAAAACGAAGATACAGAGAAACAAAGGAGCTAAAGACAATCCTCCGAAGAGAAAAGAACTGGAGACCATGGTGCAAGTAAAGTGAGCAGGATTAGAATCGTAGTATCCACTTGGAAAGAGAGTCTGGGGAATGATCTAACTTTACCTTTGGATCCAAGCTCACACCTTTATATGGGAAACACAGCCTGCTTGTGAACATAGTCACCCCCTCTCCTCGATATCGTTCATGATACTCAATGCCCCGAGATACCGAGCTCTAATTGTTTAAGATTAGATCATAACTTGCTTGTAGACCTAGTGATCCTTTCTCCTAGGCTGGGCGTTTTACGTAAAATAGAGCATAATTTCAACAAAAGTATCAATCATATCTAATAATACTATTGTTTGCTCTATGTCTTATATTATATATTAGTTGTTATATAAGCCAATGAATTTTGTTAGTTGGAATCTCAATAGATCTCTAAAATGAGGTTTGTTTGATGATGTGATTAGTCAGATTGAGATATCGGTAGTCTGTATTATAGCTAATTATAACACCATGATTAATCTAATGTTGGATTCACCGGATTTAGACATGTTCATCTAGATATAGAATACCAAGCTATTAAGAGTAATGGGGGTGGCGGAGGAAGTGGTAAGGGCAGTGTAGAAGTGGTGGTGGAAGTGATAGTACTCGAGTAGTGAAGAAGGATAAAACAACCAACTTTCGAGTTTATAAATACCTAAAGTATCTACTCGATCGATTATATCGTCCCTAATACTCACTGACCCGAGATACCGAACTCTAAAAGTTTAAGATTAGATCACAACTCATCTCATGAGTTTCTCCGCATCCAAGCATCCAAGCGTCTGGGGTAAGTGGCTTACAAGTTGCGGAGTACCGGTAATGAAGTGAATAGGGGGGTTAACTAAACATCTTGCTTAAAATCTGCCTGTACAGTACAGTACTGTAGTCTGTAGATTCTTTGCCGAGAAACATAAAGCCCCATGCCATGATCAGGGACCACAACATCACATCAAGCACCACCACGGAGATTGATGCCAACATTAAACTAAGTCAAACCTATTAGAACAAAATACTATGGCCGACGATTCAGATGGATCCACCGGATCGCATCATTTGCATATAGCATGCAAGACAAATCATATCGGAAAGATCGTGACAAAGTCTTGTCACGTAATGCCATGATGAAAGGCGCGTGAGTGAGGCGTCTCGCGTACCTGATATTACTGTATATATATTAAATACTGTACACTCGCCGAGGTGCCGAAACCACCTGCCTTTTTCTCAGATACCGGTACATTAGATAATTAGGAGAGAAAAATGGTTGATAGTTTTTCCCAATATTATTTTCAATACTGCAACCGCCTCGGAGATGAGTATAATGTGAAGATGTATAGATGTATATTTTCGGGTTGCGCTCTGGCGAGTGCAATGTATTGGTTTTGTGTCAGTCAGTTTCTATTGTACAGTACGTATCAAGTCACGCAGGCATAAGTATACCGGATAAGAGAGTGAAAGAGAGTCAAGAAGGTAGGTATCGAGGTCCACTCTGCCATGAGTTGGGATGAATGTAAGTTTCGCTAAGGATATGTTGATGAAGTAGAACAGATTGATGATGAATTTTCATAGATATACGAGTGCTTGTAGGGCAAAAGGTAGACAGCGGAGTTTTGGGGTTTGTAATCTATGGTGAGACTTATATACAGCAATAAATCTCCGTCAGAATCCTTCCATTTCTTAAAGTAGTAATTATGTACTCATTCCTACTTTATTAATTTGAGAAATGCGTGATTAGCGATAACTAAGAATCAATGAAGGAAAAGGAGAGCCGGTTCAGAAAATAACTGCATTTGGGGATGGAAGTAACTCACCGTCGCAAATCGCTTAGGCTTATTCCAGGCCTATAAATCGTCTTCAAAGCCTCGAAGATATGTTATTGTAACCGCAGCGAGCTTTTTGAGAGCACATGAGAGCTTATGAAATAGGGTGATGAGATGTGAGTCGTTCTCCGCATAGGTTCCCGTTCCTTATGGTATGGTTGGAACTCGTGGAGGTACGACCTAAGCCACGATTGAGAGCGCCAGTTGTAGGAGCTGAAAGACCCCGCAGTTTTGTATATCTGATACACAGCCATGTCGTAGTCTTGGACTCCTTCAGCCTTATCCGCCGGCGAGGAAGATAAATCTGGGTTTTAGTATAAAAGCCATGGCTATGTGAACACCATCGGAAATCCATATAGAAAGGAAGACCAGAAGATGGGAAATGGAGATTACCGAGATTTGAGTGTTATCAATATAAAGACACAGAATGGTACACGAAGCTTGGAGGGAAATCATACTTCATTACAATTCTCTTGGATCTGTACTTGATATATTTCGGAATACACACTTGTGATTCAGTATTGAGGAGTTTGATGGTCGCGCATCAGGAGTTTTTCGTGCATAATTCGACTCTTTTCGTCCTATTGATTCAGGACTTGATTCCCTCGTTCTCTGTTGGTGTTGGAAAATGGCGTCTTACTGCCTAGTATTGTATTCAAAGTAGAATGCGATATGTAAGCAATGCCTTGGGATATTCCTCGTGATTGGAGATGTTCTGGTTCTCCCAAACTAGAAATCTGAACCCTCTGCTCTCGCATCGTGCCGCAAGTCATGAACCGTCGATTGTACTCGAGTAGATGCTGAAGCGATGTTAAAGAGAGAATTATAGCTTGAGTTCTTCATGCAAAGTACCTAGTAGTCTTCGAATTTCCCAGCCATTTCGTGTCAATTCGAGGGAAAAGAGAAACATATGCGAGGATATATGACGAGGATAAAAGTATGTAGTTTGGCACTAAAGTCGTGTCACGGTTCATAATAAGCTTCCCGCTTCTCCCCTTCCCGCCTTCCAGTTTTTAACATTTTCCCAACCTCAAATTAACTCTGAACTTTATATCTCATTGATACCTCTTTCATCTCTTGAACTAGAGAATAAAAATTAACACATAATTGAAGAAAGGCCGTTGTTGAAAATCTGTTCTCATTTCCAAAATCCATGCTGTGGTTGCGCAAATAAGAAGCGAGAAGCACCAGCGCCAACAGCCTTCATTATGATATCGATTATCTTATGCTTTTTTGGCCTCAATAAAACTCCAAAGAATGCGAGGCCAAAAGAATCTACGAAAGGGAATCGTGGTTTATGGTATTGATTTTCATAGATAAGGCGTTGAAGGGCAATTAAATGGGTGGTTGGATGGGAAATGAGAATCACGGTGAAAGAATCATCCAAAAAATTGGGGTTATGTGGTGGGAGAGGGGGAAAGAGGGAATGGGGTGGTCAATTTTTTCGTGGAGATTATTGAGTGAGTGAGTGCAGTGTAGCCAATAGTGAGCCAGTTGAACTTGGGAGGATGGTTGTTTATTTTGATGGATGGATGTGAATGTGTTTGGATCAAAAGCTGTAAAGGTGTAGAGGGGGAGAAGAGTCGTTGTTTGTTTGGATGAATGGATGGATGATGGATGAAGGGAGAAAAGGAGAGTGGTTGTTGGGCTGCGTGGCGACGGATGCTTTGAATTTAGAGCAGCCGTTCTGCGGTGGGTATACTGGTCAGGAATTGGGGTTTCCATGGATCAACTATCAAATGATAAGCGTTGATGCCGAACTTATCTACTCGAGTAGATGATGAATACTAGAATTCTTCTAATTCGACAGTGCTATTACCCAATTGCTTAAGTTTTCCCTGACTTGCAGCAACAGCCTGTATATGCTACTCAGACTGCTTCTTTGGCTTGGAGACACAGTGCTAGACTGCTCCGTTCCCGAAACTATATAAGTGCTAGTAATGACAATCTAGTCAGCTCCATCCTAGAAGGGTGTGCGTATAAATTTACATTACCTAGACTTCAGCGTGCCTTCCTTAGTTCTACTGCGTTACAAACAATGTAGGATAGTCTCAATCGTTCTCGGAATGTGTCGTCTAGTAGCGGCCACCCGATCGAAGCTGGAGATTAGGGAGGTCGTCCTGCTTTGGTACACGAAGAACATTGGCGAGAAAGACGAAAACAAATCAAAATCGGATACAGAGTGTAACTTTTCGTGAGACTAGGTTGACAGATCCTCAAGGAAGAGTAATGTGAGGGAATTAAGCCTGTTTGGTTTGTGATTACACGGTCTACAGCTGTATTCTTGTATTGTACAATTTGTATAAGAATTGGAACGTTGTATGCTTGGAGATGTTTTGTAGACTAGTGACTCCCACTTTTGTTAATCAGGTCCTTTTGACTATGAAAGATCATGAATTGTGACATTCTTTCTGGAAATTACCATATGGTATTTATGTAGGTGGGATGGGATGGAAAATCATTAAAAAGTGGGATACGCATTCTATTGAGATCTATCTAGGTTGAATCGACGACGATAACCTTTGTTTGATGCCCCAGGCAACTCCGCTAGTTGCGCGCTATTAGCCCGTATAAACAGACTTTTGATATCACTCTGTTGATCCATCCACCCGACGGACTTTCCTTCGCTTACTTGTCCTCCGTATCAGACTTGAGCTCTGTAAGTGTCTTTGTCTTTCGTTTTTGTATTGGGACAGGAGTCGAGGTTCCGTAAACATCGTAGATAGCTGGTTTCATAGCCTGTAAGATTAGATCGGGTTCATTAATCGGTAATATCTTTTTCTCGATATAGAGGCTAGTATCAAAGAATTTGTAGGGCTTCTCAAATTTCTGTAAATATATATTCGAAATCATAGTTGTATGTTGTATAAGTTTGGTTTCTATTGACTGTAAACAGAGATAAAATTCTCCAGATTTGATGATTTCGGGGCTTGATTGAGAAGGATTGGTATCTAGTATGGATTTGTGTTTGGGAACAAAAAGAATAATCTATGATAATTAAATTAGTTTAATCGATTATTGAGAGGGAAATTGAGAGGAAAAACAATATACCTGATACGAGTTTATGTCTTGTAGATCAAATACTTCAGATTCAAAATCCCTTTTTCTAAACTGGGCCAGAGCAATTAAAATAGCGGTGTAATCAGGGTCAATAGCAAGCTCTCCTTTCTTTTCGTTTTGCTTAGTAGTAGCAAAGGATAAAGACTTCAGTCTAGAAATGTGCTGTTTCCGTCGAGTAGTGGATATCCATGTATGATCAGTATAAGCCCAGATTGGAGTACCTGGAAGGTTTTTAGATCTAGGAAAATTATGTCAAACAAGTATAATATAAGAGAAAGTAACATAGATAGATATGCGATAACCTCCTATCTAGGCAAGATTTGTAGCGAGTGGATATAGCAAGCTTTTGGGCTTATTTTCAATTCACTTTTCTCTTTGAATTCAGATCAGGTCATAAGGTCATTACTTATTAGATACTTCTTCAATCTCGGTATACTGTTTGTTTCTTTTCTCAACCCTTAGGTCCCTCAATCTAGGTATCCGACGGGTAGTAGTAGTACTATACTGAGTATCATATGGGAAGGGACCCATTCTATAAAATCTTTAAACGGCTAGGTATGGAACCATGATTGCATGCCCGAATTGGGGGTGCCTTTAGGCTTAGTGTCTATATGCTAAACCTAAAAGCAATCAACTCACTGTATTCAGGCCTAATGCTCTGGAGGAATAGTGTTGTAGAGCCTATAAGTTACTGTATAACCTCTAAGTCGGATAAAAGTGGTAGAATCGATAATTCGACCAATAAATAGCTACCCCACCTACCCTCTCCCCTGTCTAGTTGCCCACACCAAGGCTGTCAGAGGGGTCCCTCAAAGGATTGTAGATCCCTCGACTTCAGTACAATAACTCGTACCTCAATCACAACCTCAATCACATTCACATTCATTCAAAACAAAACAGACAAGTAATTTGTATACGCTTAAATTATCATAAACATGTCTGGAAAAACCATCAGACCAAAGGGGTATCACACATCATTAAACCTAAAGTTTACATCAACACCCAAACCTCCAAACCTCCAAACTCCCAATCTTTAGAAAGATACAAAGAGTAAACTCATTCCCTCCCATTAGAGCTGAATCCACCTTGGGGTGGCGAATCCCAAGGCTTCCTGGCTCTCTCCGGGTTTCTGACGATTTGGTCTTGCACTAGCTAATTTTCTTTCCGTTTCCTCTTCGATTCCAGTATCAACTACCTATTCAATAGCAACAGACTGCTTTTTTGAATACGATCCATCCAACCTTGAAGTCCATTCTTCATCAGAGTCCACCATCTAACATACATATTAACTCTTCTGCCACCGTCCCGGGAATGCTTCGCATTCACACAATTGAAGAAACCCCATCGAAACCCATCCACCATACACCATAACCAACCCAACCCCAACCACCAAACCTCCCATCTCATCACCCCAACCATACATCTCAAACCAAACCAAAGACAACAAAAAACAAACAAATAAACAAAC